CCTGCATGCGTATACGAGGAAGCAAAATAAGCGATATTAAAATAAATAATGACTAAAGCACAAAAAGCTCGTTGGAGGAAAGCGCTTGGGGTGGAAGAGAGCAACGTTAACGTTTCTATTTTTAGAAAAAACCCCTCTGTCCTCATTGTTCCCCTCACCTTTCCATCTGCTCGGGATCCGTCCGGGGGCCGGGATGCACGGTTTCTCCCCGTCCCCGCCGCGCGGGTCGACCCCGTTGAGGTCGTTAGGAAAACTGAAGTCGTTTACTCAGGTGAATTGATCGGCTCTCAGCAAGCTGGAAAATGGGAGTGCGGGGCAGGGAGAAAAGCATCCTTGGAGTCGGAGTTGGTTTAACCCGGGAGGCTGAGCGAAGTTGTTCTGCCCGTGCTTCTCTCCGATGGCTGCCGCGGTCCCACCGTGCCGGGCCGGCACGTTTGAAATCCCCTTCGCACAACAGAACGCTTGGCCCTGAGGGTAGATGTACCGTCACCGAGGGGAAATGGAAACGCTTGCCTTCACCATTTTGTTTTCCTGCTAAACGCTACAGTGGAAATGGTGAATTTATTCCTCCCCATCTTTTTTTTTTTTTTTTGGTTCCTTAAATCCTGGTTACAAGCTGTTGACTCGTTGTGGGAGGGTGATTCACAGAAGCTGACATTATAAATATTACAATAATTTAATGCATAAAATGTCCCCAGTAAGCCTTAAATGTTGTTTAAAAGCCCATGTTACCTACAAGTCAGGCGAATTTCCATGTTTGCACTTAATTGCACCATTACTTCGGTTTTGGCTTCAAAGGTCACAGTTAAGTCATGCTATGTGTTTTATTGGAGTGACCCCAGTGTGAGCTCAGGGAACAAAAAAAAAAAAGGAATTCACTGAAACTTTTGTTGTTGTTGTTTTTTAAAAATAAAAAATGTAAAAAAAAAAAAAACTAAAAAAAAAAAAACCACAACCAAACCTGGGACACTTCTGCAACCGGTTAAACCCATCACTAAACAAAAAAACCCTTGCAATTGTCAAACCAATCAGTCAAATAATTTTGTGGATGCCAAAGAATATTTTGACAGTCAAGCAGCACAGCCAGAAACCGGAAACTTGTCGTTACGAAAAAAAATTGGAAGTTATTTAGCCACAAAGGACTAAAGACACACTCATAACACACTGCTGCGGCGTTAGGTTCCAAGCTTGCTCCGAGGGATGCTGCTGCTCCGAGACCGCATCCTGCCGTTTTGATTTCCGATGCTTTTTGCTCATTTTCACTGTGAGCTTTCTTTTGAAACTCTGAGACTCCTTCAATTGACCGTCTTGGTGTTTTAGAGTAGATCATCTTTATCAGCCTTCCAAAGTCCTTCTGAGAGGTAAAATTGCAGCAAAGATAGGCGATGACAGCCTAGCTCACCCCGGCATGGCGAGCGGCGGGGGCTTCGGGTCGGACGCTGAGCCTGCACCCAGCCCTGGCTAAGCCCAACACTAACCCGGCTGAGACGGACCGTGCCTGGGGAGGAACCTTCCTCAGATGGGGGAAAAAAGTTACACAAGTTATTAGCAGGCAAAAAAGAAAAAAAAAAAAAAAAAGACAGAAAATCAACAAAATGGGAACCACCTTTGTTATAAATTTGCATAATCCATTGAGGTTGGAAATGAAAATCTGCTCATTAATTAAGGCTCGGTATGTTCAGATAATGTTAAATACAGTAAATAGGACTTAGTTTATCTTACCAGGCTTGCTAGCTTTAGCTACAGTATCCTAGTATAAGAGTCATAACAATAATCAATATGCTGCCTTTTAATGAATCTTGCTTCCGTGTGCTTCACTCAATTATGGTTAAAAAAAAAAAGCAATCCACAAATTTCACTGTACACAGCTCCATTCATCAGCTTCTGCACTACTTGTCTTCTCAGTACAGGAAAGCAAAAAGGGGGAGACTTTAAAGAATCCACCCCGGCGCCGCCGGCACCAGGCAATAAACCGGTTTAAAACGCTCCCGAAACATCAGGCGTCGTGTTTTTGCCGTCTGTAGGTGGGGAAGGCTAAAGGGGGCTGGTGGGGCGCGTCGCACCCGGGGAGAAGAACGGGGTGAGGAGAAAAAAGAGGAGAAAAGGGGCTCCGGTGGGCCGTGGGGCT